GAGGCTGTCAAAAGGGTAGAGAGATTGAGTATCTCTGAAGGTCCAGTGGTAGTGAATCACCAGCAGGACCCAGAAAATCTTCATGTGAAGAAAGTGGACTTTCGACAATGGTAAACAACACTGCACAAGTTGAAAAGAAGTCAAGAAAGATCGACATCATTGTTTATGCAGCTGAAATATTTCTGTCATTAAAATATTTCACATCTGAGCTAGAGTGGGGAGAACAAGTATTTGATACACTGCCGATTTTGCAGGTTTTCCTACTTACAAAGCATGTAGAGGTCTGTAATTTTTATCATAGGTACACTTCAACTGTGAGAGACGGAATCTAAAACAAAAATCCAGAAAATCACATTGTATGATTTTTAAGTAATTAATTTGCATTTTATTGCATGACATAAGTATTTGATCACCTACCAACCAGTAAGAATTCCGGCTCTCACAGACCTGTTAGTTTTTCTTTAAGAAGCCCTCCTGTTCTCCACTCATTACCTGTATTAACTGCACCTGTTTGAACTCGTTACCTGTATAAAAGACACCTGTCCACACATTCAATCAAACAGACTCCAACCTCTCCACAATGGCCAAGACCAGAGAGCTGTGTAAGGACATCAGGGATACAATTGTAGACCTGCACAAGGCTGGGATGGGCTACAGGACAATAGGCAAGCAGCTTGGTGAGAAGGCAACAACTGTTGGCGCAATTATTAGAAAATGGAAGAAGTTCAAGATGACGGTCAATCACCCTCGGTCTGGGGCTCCATGCAAGATCTCAACTCATGGGGCATCAATGATCACGAGGAAGGTGAGGGATCAGCCCAGAACTACACGGCAGGACTTGGTCAATGACCTGAAGAGAGCTGGGACCACAGTCTCAAAGAAAACCATTAGTAACACACCACGCCGTCATGGATTAAAATCCTGCAGTGCACGCAAGTTCCCTCTGCTCAAGCCAGCGCATGTCCAGGCCCGTCTGAATGATCCAGAGGAGGAATGGGAGAAGGTCATGTGGTCTGATGAGACAAAAATAGAGCTTTTTGGTCTAAACTCCACTCGCCATGTTTGAAGGAAGAAGAAGGATGAGTACAACCCCAAGAACACCATCCCAACCGTGAAGCATGGAGGTGGAAACATCATTCTTTGGGGATGCTTTTCTGCAAAGGGGACAGGACGACTGCACCGTATTGAGGGGGGGATGGATGGGGCCCTGTATCGCGAGATCTTGGCCAACAACCTCCTTCCCTCAGTAAGAGCATTGAAAATGGGTCGTGGCTGGGTCTTCCAGCATGACAACGACCCGAAACACACAGCCAGGGCAACTAAGGAGTGGCTCCGTAAGAAGCATCTCAAGGTCCTGGAGTGGCCTAGCCAGTCTCCAGACCTGAACCCAATAGAACATCTTTTGAGGGAGCTTAAAGTCCGTATTGCCCAGCGACAGCCCCGAAACCTGAAGGATCTGGAGAAGGTCTGTATGGAGGAGTGGGCCAAAATCCCTGCTGCAGTGTGTGCAAACCTGGTCAAGACCTACAGGAAACGTATGATCTCTGTAATTGCAAACAAAGGTTTCTGTACCAAATATTAAGTTCTGCTTTTCTGATGTATCAAATACTCATGTCATGCAATAAAATGCAAATTAATTACTTAAAAATCATACAATGGGATTTTCTGGATTTTTGTTTTAGATTCCGTCTCTCACAGTTGAAGTGTACCTATGATAAAAATTATAGACCTCTACATGCTTTGTAAGTAGGAAAACCTGCAAAATCGGCAGTGTATCAAATACTCCCCACTGTATATGGAGTACTGTCTTGTGCAGTCCCACCCTATCAGGCCCTAGAGCCTGAGCAGGGGATTTGAGTAGAAATATTTTTTGGTAGGTTGTGTGGATATATATATATATTTTTTTTTAATTGGGGGGGGACTATTTGAGGCTGACTCCGCAATGGCTCATTGGCCAAAGCCTATGGGGAAATTAATGGGGATTTTGGATAAACATAAACGCCAAAAATAAGGTCTGTGGTAAACAGGCTTAGGAGATCTTATACGTTTTGTTCTATGAGAATCTTCATCAGCTAAAGTCCCTTTTTGTGAATTTTGAAGCATTTATGTAATTAAAATAAGCCCATAAAATAATAATAATAATAATAATATAATATGCCATTTAGCAGACGCTTTTATCCAAAGCATAAATTTTTACGTATGGGTGGTCCCGGGGATCGAACCTACTACCCTGGCGTTACAAGCGCCGTGCTCTACCAGCTGAGCTACAGAGGACCACATACAGGCTTCATAACTCTTAAAGGTCATGTTAACCGACTGATATGTCATAGAACAATACATTTAAGATCTCCTAAGCCTGTATTAACCACATACATTATTTTCGGTATTTATCCCAAAACCCCATTCTTTCCCCATTCATTTCCCCCATAAAAAAGGCTGAACGAACCAGTTTCATTTCCATTTTTTAGGACTACAAACTGGCGAGCTCTATATGCCCAATATCAGCCTGCATCAACCATCCTGCATAACCTTGACATCCCATTTGTTTTCAATATCACAGATTTGTTAGTCATTTACATTCATATTTACATCATTTAGCAGACGCTCTTATCCAGAGTGACTTACATTTACCAACTATCTTGTGCATTCATGTAGCAATATAATATTTGGTTTCAATTCAATTGACAGTGCTGGGGGTTCATGAAATCAACCATGTAAATACATAAGTACGTTCTACTTGCTTACACGGTTAATAATTTGCCTACCCTGTGCATGCCAAGTTTTAGGATGATGGAATAACCATTCAAGCTAAAACAGTCTTGTATCTAGCTGGAAGTGCCTTTCTGAATGTTCTCAAGTGTGGTTGAGCTGCTGTTCACTTGTCTGATCACCGCTGACTTGTAGGTCTCTACTGCCATCCAAGGGTGATATGACTAACTGCAGCCTTACCTGTAATCCAGGCCCTTTGGTATGTGCCTCCTTCAAGAACACCCCACAAGACCCATCTCATATCAACCTCTCTTAAGAATACCATCATCAACAGACAGCTTATAATGCAGAACCACCATGCAAGTTCAAAATGCTATTGACACTGCTTAGGATTCAGGATTACTCACTGGGGTGCTTGGATGGACCCATGAACAAGGATATGACTTAGAGCTAAGTGTATTGCTGTCATCATCCAAAACAACATTAGCAATGGAATGATTGAGTGGTTAGAGTAGATTCATGTGGTCACGACAGAATCATTTCCAAGGACATGCATTCATAAAAAGCATTCAATACTCATGATGAACAGTTGTTTGATGACTCTTAAAACCTGGTGTGGACGTTATATTAATTTACACTAAACAGACTAAACAGATTTTTCCAAATGTATTTCTTAGAAAATGAAGCATTAGCAAGAGACTAAAAAAAGGGTCCCCAAATACAATTGTACTTTATTGTCAAACGATTGTACAATCTCTACAGTTGATTGCAAAAGCAGTGTCCATCCACCAAAGGCTATATGAAAGCTACACAATATACTTCCTTTTCCATGCATGACAAAACTTCCCTGCCATGCTTTAGCTATTGTCGTGACACCAGAGTGCTCACAACTCCTACCACCTATTTACAATGCTTGAGCCTGGTCCCAGATCTATTTGTGCTCTTGCCAACTCCATTGCTCATTGTCAAGCCAAACATGACAATGAGTGACAAGGAAGTTGCATGATACACAACAGACTGGCACTCAGGTTACAATGCTTTTCCTCTGTCCTGAAAAGACAGCTGGAAAAGTATTGGGGATCGATAAGTGCATGAGAAATGATTGATTCTGGATTCTCGTCACAGGATATGGCATTAGAATTGAAGGCTCGTTAAGGTAATGATGAGTGAGTGACGGTGGTCATCATCGTTTCCTCTAGACTGAGGTGGCATCCCAAATGTTACCATATATATATATATATATATATATATATATATATATATATATATATATATATATATATATATATATATATATATATATATATATATATATATATAGATAGTGCACTACTTAATGAATACGCATTCGTCGCCAGATAGAGACCTGTGTTGAAGTAGTGCTTTACATCCACATTAGGCTGAAGAGTGCAAACGTCCTACAGAAAGAGAGTGCTCTGATTCGAAGTCATTGAGAAACTAATTGAGAAATCTCAGTGAGGAATCTTTACCTTCCATCTGTGAGACGTCATCGAAGTCATAAAAACAAATACCAAAAAATGGCCCAGCGCTGGGATTACTGCATAGCACAATCTGGGCAACGTGTTAATAAGAAGAACAGTCAGGGGAATTACTGCCGCCATATCACAATGTGGTGGGCCCTATCGTGTCAAAAGTCCTGACTTGTCTAATGGATTTAGGGTAAGAAATAACCACAAGTTCTGAACATAAATCTATATTGTGTAGTACGCTACATACGTACAATATTAACTTTTACAACTGCAAATGCTTTGTACTGCAAATGCTTTGTGGATTGAGGGCTTTGAGGCTAACCACTACAAATATCCTTCATTCATTGCAGGGCAGATTAGTGACTAGCAAGTAAAGTACAGTATCATTGGATATATTCATCTTGGTATTGATTGACAATATTTACATTCCAATTTTCTGAGTGTGTAATCTGCAATCAGCACAAACAATATTTTAAGTGTAGGACAGTAAGGCTTAAACATGGTGAAAACTTATTTCATATAGACCAGTATAGGCCACCCAAATAAATCAAATACTAAATCATAATAATTCAAAACTAGGACTATGGTTAACAAAACAGAAAATACTATTTCCAGCATACGTGGGCAAACATTGAAAACGTGTATCGATTACAGAGTGGTAGTACCATCAAACTCCCTCTTACCCAGGTTTGTCCTGAAGCAAGAAAAAGTGGGGCAAGCTTGTGGGCAAGTGAGCGTTTCAACAATGCAGCTGGAAACAGGTTTGTTTAGTTCAGTCCTTTTAACTTCCTTCTCTGCTCAGAAGATGTAATCTTGAGTCATCTTGAGGGAAGGCATGGCCTCGTTGACATTTTGGTCCAGCCGATGGTACTCCACATTGTTGCGAGAGCACAGGCCGTCTCTCCAGCGCCGACTCTGGGCTAGGAGGAGGATCTGGAGAGAGGGGACAGTGGATATTCAAGTTGACCTTTACCCTTTTTATTGGTGACCCCGGCCGTCCAGACCCAGTATTCATAAAGCGTCTCAGAGTAGTAGTGCTGATCTAGGATCAGGTCCACACTGTCCATGTAATTCTATTAATCAAGATCTAAAAGGCAAAGCTGATTCTAAATCAGCATTCTTACTCAGACGCTTGATACATACGGACCCAAAAGTAACTAAAATAAGCGTAATCAGGATGATATTCAAAGGAACACAAAAAGGGCAATGAATGGGGATTGCCCACGCTAACAATGTAGCTAGGCTACCTATCAGGGAAGTAAATGGTCTCTCAATAGCCTAACTGCAAAAGTTACCCCCAACTCAATATGTATTTCTGTGTATTTAATCAGAATATTTAAGATTACTAAAGTTCATATTTAAGTTAGAGCAGGGATGGGCAACTGTGATGGGGGTGGGGCTCACAAAGATTCTGGCTCGCAGGTCTGTGTACCCACATATTCAGTTAGAGCGGCCCTAGCCTTTTGGGGGCCCTAAGTGAAATGTTGTTTTAAAGTAAGTTTGCTGCAATTACACACATTTTGCCATGGGTGGAGAGAAGATTTTGCAATTTTATAACTCATTTCATGTAATTGTACTAATTTTGCCATGGGGCGGAGATAATTTTTTTCAGTTTTACAGCTAATTTCCTGCAATTGTACACATTTTGCCATAGGGTGGATAGAGAAATGTTTGCAGTTTTTAATATGATATCTGAATGAGTGTGACTAACAAAATCAATGGGGGCCCCCTGGTCTGTAATTTAACCATGCTTACGCTTAAGTGTAGATAGCAGGCTAGACTAACTTAAAAATAAAAGTTAGCTGGCATGGGCTAATTCAGTGACTGTCAGTGGCTGACATAAGAGAAAAAAATTCAACAAATTTCTAAATTGCACCTTGTGTATTGTCCTATTCTCTCTCTCAACAGTAAGTTGAGACCTTGACCAAGTCCCTCCCACCCCAAATTATCATTATTTTTGTTGTAAATTGATCTGCGGGCCTACAAAAGGGGGGCCCTGACAGTTGCCCATCCCTGATTTAGTGATCAAAACAATATTTAGCATATTTTGAGTTTCTGTAATACACAAAATGTTCAGTGTTCCATTTGTAACACTCAAGGTGCCGGTTGATGGTCACTAGACTTGTTATGGACTATTCTCATATCTGTTGATAGTGGTTGACGCCAGACTGGATATATAAGGACCAAGGACACACTGATTATTCACTGTTGTATTGATGACATTCTATGAAAACTGTGATTCTGTAGCAGCTGACAAAGACACTGCCTTTTGTTTGGACTTCCTACTAGCCTCTCGGACTGGTGTTTGGAGAACATGTGGTGCTGTCTGATTAGTAAGATATAAAAGGACCTGTCTACAAGAGGCCAGTTAGACATTTTCTCTGCTTCAGTACTGGATGGTGTCTCCCTGTTGCAACTTGTAATAAACCGGATTGATTTCTGATTGACTTTATCTGCGACTGCTCTTCTCTTTTGTTCACCAGGAAATTCCTATTACAGTGTGTGTATACACTGAGTGTACAAAACATTAGGAACACCTGCTCTTTCCATGACAGCCTGACCAGGTGAAAGCTATGAGCCCTTATTGATGTCACCTGTTAAATCCACTTAAATTAGTGTAGATGAAGGGGAGGAGACAGGTTAAATAAGTATTTTTAAGCGTTGAGACAATTGAAACATGGATTGTGTATGTGTGCCATTCAGAGGGTGAATGGGAAAGGCAAAAGATTTAAGTGCCTTTTAACGGGGTATGGTAGTAGGTGCCAGGCGCACCGGTTTGTGTCAAGAACTGCAACGCTGCTGGGTCTTTCACGCTCAACAGTTTCCGTGTGTATCAAGAATGGTCCACCACCCAAAGGACATCCAGCCAACTTGACAACTGTGGGAAGCATTGGAGTCAACATGGGCCAGCATCCCTGTGGAACACTTTCGACACCTTGTAGTCCATGCCTCAATGAATTGAGGCTGTTCTGAGGGCAAAAGGGGGTGCAACAAATTAGTTGTTCTACAAACATTGGGCTATATGTTTTGATTCTTCATACATTGTAAGGCTGCATGATGCGACTAATGATGATTTGAAAAACGTCGCTTGAAAGACATGAGCTCTGCTTTGTTTTTTACGCAGGCTGTACACACTTCATCAGTCTCTCATTCACAATTTGACAAGCACTTGATAATGCCTCGAATTTCACAGTGGCATCCCCTTTGTGTGGCCGTTATACACCCTAAATAAATCCATGCCTTTTGCGGCCAGTGGCCGTTGTGCCCTTGGCCCGGAGTGCTGCGTTGTGCCCTTCTCCCTGAGTGCTGCGCGCTCCGAAGCACCTCTCACTCACATGGCTCTCCATCACGTGATCGGGTCTTTCTCACAGGCTACAAGTGAAGACAGACACATCGTGGAAGCAACTGTGCGCGTCCTTGTCCAATTCCGAGGTGCATATTAAAGATATTGGAAAAACTGTCCACATTTTATTTTCGTCAGCCAACAAGACGAGTGGGCCAAACTAATAGCAAAAGCACTAGCCTATGTCAATCTACTATCCCCCATGGTACAAAAGTTGACCTACTCTATTCTGTACGAGAAATAAATATTCCAAACATAGTCTGGGACAGTTGTTGGATGCGACAGATCCCAAATTAATACAACCACTAGCATAAAAAAAACTTTTTTTACACAATGTGGCTGACGCAACAGATCAGAACGTTTAGCTTTAAATGTTGATAAACTATTAGGCTATTTCTTCACATTATAAGCACAGCAATGCGCACATGGCAGTAGGCTATAAGCACGAATGATGCATTAGCGAGAAAACGCCATTATCAAAAGTCACCGCAAATGCAATTATGAATGTAATGCTTTTATTATAAAGGTGCATCTTTATGGTGAAAATTATCTTCCCCAAACTTGAAACTCACGTGCTGCTTATGTATGCCAGTTAGGCTCTACACCCCTTGTAAAGCAGATTAATGTGCTTCATTTTAACAAGTTATTTGGCCACTTTAGTTGTGATACAAACCTTATCAAAACATATAGGCCTATGGGCTAGGCTACATGAGGTGTGCGACTATGATTAGAAAAAGTAGCAAAAAAAGGCATTGTTTCTTGCCTTATGCTGGGCATCATTCACAAGTGATAATATATAATTCACAAGTGATAAGCTAATATTGTCACCATCAGACTATTCTTGATTTAATCTTGGCTTTACATATACTAAATAACATATGTGTGAAATTTGTTTTGATTTAGAATGGACCATTATCATGCACCTGTCTCGAAACGGGCAGCGGGAAAAAATACATGTCATCTATGCACTTAAATACCGAATGGAGGACGCTTTTCCTGTGGTTCATTTTCATGCCAGCCAGGTAGGCTATGCTCCTGTTGTAAAGATAAGCAATGTGCTTAATATTAGGAAAGTTGAGAAATAAATATAGTAGGCCTAGCCTATAGAAAGCTGATGGGATCCTCCTCTTTTTAATAGAGGCCATCACTCGGTTTTCTCACCCAATTGCATAGCCTATAGAAATGTTGTGCAACATGAGCTCATGGGCTCTCATGAAGTGTTTGATTAGATTTTCGACGTCATTTGCATTGATGTCAGAGTGATTAGAGGGACAATAGAGTGCTGAGTACCAGGTAGTTAGCAAGTTTGGAGAAGCATCAGAGGTTGGAGAAGCCTAATTACCGTGACTAAACGGCCACGTCACGTGGAATTTGACTGCCTTCATGAACACCGGTATGGGGGCAATACGGTCACCGCAACAGTCCTAGGTGCAACTCAATATTATAGATCTTTTTTTTTTTTTTTACATTTTAGTCATTTAGCAGACGCTCTTATCCAGAGCGACTTACAGTTAGTGAATACATCTTTTTTTATACTGGCCCCCCGTGGGAATCGAACCCACAACCCTGGCGTTGCAAACGCCATGCTCTATCAACTGAGCTACATCCCTGCCGGCCATTCCCTCCCCTACCCTGGACGACGCTGGGCCAATTGTGCGCCGCCCATGAGTCTCCTGGTCGCGGCCGGCTGCGACAGAGCCTGGATTCGAACCAGGATCTCTAGTGGCACAGTTAGCACTGCGATGCAGTGCCTTAGACCACTGCGCCACTCAGGAGCCAGGAACGTGTTATAGGAACGTGTTCCTAATGTTTTGTACACTCTGTGTATAACCTATGCCTCTAGTTTAAGAGCTAGCGAGAGGGGGAAGAGATCGGTGAGTTGTCAGGGGAGATGCATGAATTACAGTGAAATATCCACCAGAGTTTAGGCTACCCTTTTTCAATAAGTGGTTGCACAGATTTAGATAAAACACTCACATTAAAATGTAGGCCTAGTGTCATCATAACCACCCTTTGCTTCACTAAAATGTATTAACGACTGATAGGCTATAGACAGGTTGCATATATGTTTCTATTTAATGGTTGTAAATTTTATAGCCTAGGCCAGAGTTTCCCAACTCCTCGAGTACCCACAACAGTACACATTGTGTGTGTATATTGAAGGGGTTCGGTACAGCAGAAATCAAAGACTGTCTCGTATGGATTAATAAAGTATTCTTCCTCTGCTTACCTTCCTCTTGTTGTGGTAGGTGATGTATACAATGGCCACCAGGAAGGCCAGGATGACCAGGTGGAAGAAGAAGTGGGAGTCCTCGTCCTGGGTGGTGTAGATGTTGGTGTCCTTCATACGTACGTCTATCTTCCCAACAATCTTTGCGTCCACCATGTCGTCGTCCTTCTCCTCCTTTAATTCTTTGCCGCCAAAGTTCTGGTTCTGGTCCAGAGGGGGGTCATAGTCAACGTCTTCCTCACTTTCTCTGCCGTACAGGTCTGTCTGTGTCTGGGCCTCCTGGGTGTTGACAGGCCCTAGATTGTCCTCTTGCTCATCCTCTGTAGGGTCCATGGGGCCGACAAGCTTGGTGTTGGAGGCAGGGCTTGGTTTCTCCAGGGTGGGCTTGGCAGGCTCTGGGGCTTTGACTGTGGTGGTGGTGGTGGTGGCTGGAGCTGCAGCCATGGTAGGGGCAGCATCAGCATCTGAATCTGAATCTGAATCTGAATCAGTGGGTCTGGGAGGTAGTTCTTCAGGAGTCAGTCCTGCTTCATTATTCAATTTGGTTTTGTTCTTGTCTGCAGTGGATTCAGCTATAACCTCCACTTTGGTGTCTGGTGCATCATCATGTGCTGTTACACCATCGATAGGTGTATCCTTGATAGGTGTGGTAGCGCCCTCATAGGATGTAGCAGCAGCGTCCTTTGCGTCTTCTGTTACAGCCTTAATGACTGTTGTATCAGGTGTTGTAGCTTTGTCACTGGTTACGGTGTCTGCTTTGCCGTCTGTTGTACCATTGCTGATGGCTGTTTCTGCATCCTTGCTGGTTGGTGTCAAAGGCAAGGAGGGTTCTGAACCAACAAAGTCTGAAAATTAGAGAAGTAGGAATTGAAAACAAACAGTCACCGCATTCATTTGAACATATGTTCACATTCCACACTTTGCAAAACAAGCCATGGGGTTTAACCGTTTTGTAGTCTACAGGGGATTTGAAAATAAGCGTGGTGAAATCTTTAGTGGAAAAATTTAGCCAAGTGATATAGCCTAGGCCTAATCATCAAATTGTACATGATACACACATCTTATTCTACATCTGACCTATAAAATCACTTTGAATTTTTTTGTGTTCTATAAAAATAAAATAGTAGGTTCTCTTTGCCCTCTGAATAGGGTGTCCAATCAAAAATGCATATAAATAATATGTTAATTGTGTACCAATAGTCCAAACCTCATGTCTATCATAATCCGTTAACAAGTTACTGGAGTTTTTACCCTTGTAAGATGGCCAAAATTATGGCCAGAGAAAAAAAGTGGTAAAAAAATTTATAAAGATTCCAGAAATGTGCATCCCGTCAGCTAGGCGGGATTCTGTGCAAGAATTAAGGTTACTTGCTACCTGACAGGCTCACTTTCCCGTTGAACTCATCTTTCTTCTCCAATCCGCAGGACATAAAACAATATAGAGGTATGATGGGATATTGATTTTGAGACATGACATGTAGTATTTTCATATTTTAGTATACACTTTTCATATTAAATTGAAATTGCTGTTCTTTTTAGAAGATTTCTCAAAAACAAGCGTATCTCTCTGAAATGTCAACTGAGCATATACCAAGCTTTTTATTTTCAAAGCCTATTGCATTCAATTCAGCTCGTGTCATGCTAATTTAGCTTTTGCGATCCGCAGAAACAACTTTGAAGACGACGAACACAAAATGTAAAAACCTAAAAAGTTGTTATGAGAAACCTACACCGCTATGTCAACAGAGCTCGGTGCTTATTATCGGATGTATTAGGTTACGAAATCGGACTTTTTGGATATAATGTTAATGATATGTTAGAAAAAGACCCCACTGAACGATTCAGAACATGAATAATCATATTTGTCTTAGTAAAATTTATTTTATAACATAAGGAAGTGAAATTTCATCACCAAAGCACGTTTTCACCCACTCTGGGCAGAGTGGGTGGACACCCTACTCTGAGTTTATCAGCATACACTTCTCACTGTAGAAATGTGCAGTGTACTGTACAGTCAATATCAGCTTAAGTCATATGCATTCTGTAACTGTACAAAATGTTCAGTCAGGCATCCAATGAGAGGGATGTTTGTTCTAGCTCCTTCCATCTCATGCTTTTGGCCGGTCCTCTTAAATCAATGACACGATTCAACCAGAGAGTCAACATGATTTTATACTCATGGGACTTATAGGCGTCGGCCAAGCTGTGGGTTAATATGGGCGGGGAAACTCTGAGGAATTGAGGCCAAGTTAGCAGTCGCCACAAAGAATTGGAGAATTCCTTCCTGGAAGCTACTGCCAGAATCAACATTGAATAAAAAGAGGCATGGCCGTCAGAAGATGTTTACATGTTTTGTCGTGGGGGGGGGGGGGGGGGGGGGTGCACTGGGAGTCTGGGCTGCATCATTATCGTGGGTGAAAAGAGCCAATAACATGTTGTGATACCAACGCCTGACTCACGTCTGCGTGACACCTGCGTCTTAAAAAAATAGAAGAGCTATACTGTTAATCTGCAGGCTATTATAATACAATAAGCCTCTCAACTGCAGGAGGGTGTACTCATACAATTTTGATTAGATTTATTTTAGGTTCAAAAGAAGCATGTCTTCCTCTTATATGGTAGGCCTACTGCGGGCAACTGTATCTTATATTCCGCAGTTTGTTAAATTTTTGGCACCATTGCATTTGATGTAAAGACCATGGCAATTACGCACTCCAATAGTAATTATATGCAACATGCATCAATCCACTCTAGGCCTAACAATGCATGTATCATCATCATCATCATTCTAGCCTATATACAGTGGGGGAAAAAAGTATTTAGTCAGCCACCAATTGTGCAAGTTCTCCCACTTAAAAAGATGAGAGAGGCCTGTAATTTTCACCATAGGTACACGTCAACTATGACAGACAAATTGAGAATTTCTTTTCCAGAAAATCACATTGTAGGATTTTTAATGAATTTATTTGCAAATTATGGTGGAAAATAAGTATTTGGTCACCTACAAACAAGCAAGATTTCTGGCTCTCACAGACCTGTAACTTCTTCTTTAAGAGGCTCCTCTGTCCTCCACTCAATACCTGTATTAATGGCACCTGTTTGAACTTGTATTAAAGACACCTGTCCACAACCTCAAACAGTCACACTCCAAACTCCACTATGGCCAAGACCAAAGAGCTGTCAAAGGACACCAGAAACAAAATTGTAGACCTGCACCAGGCAGGGAAGACTGAATATGCAATAGGTAAGCAGCTTGGTTTGAAGAAATCAACTGTGGGAGCAATTATTAGGAAATGGAAGACATACAAGACCACTGATAATCTCCCTCGATCTGGGGCTCCACGCAAGATCTCACCCCGTGGGGTCAAAATGATCACAAGAACAGTGAGCAAAAATCCCAGAACCACACGGGGGGACCTAGTGAATGACCTGCAGAGAGCTGGGACCAAAGTAACAAAGCCTACCATCAGTAACACACTACGCCGCCAGGGACTCAAATCCTGCAGTGCCAGACGTGTCCCCCTGCTTAAGCCAGTACATGTCCAGGCCCGTCTGAAGTTTGCTAGAGTGCATTTGGATGATCCAGAAGAGGATTGGGAGAATGTCATATGGTCAGATGAAACCAAAATAGAACTTTTTGGTAAAAACTCAACTCGTCGTGTTTGGAGGACAAAGAATGCTGAGTTGCATCCAAAGAACACCATACCTACTGTGAAGCATGGGGGTGGAAACATCATGCTTTGGGGCTGTTTTTCTGCGAAGGGACCAGGACGACTGATCCGTGTAAAGGAAAGAATGAATGGGGCCATGTATCGGGAGATTTTGAGTGAAAACCTCCTTCCATCAGCAAGGGCATTGAAGATGAAACGTGGCTGGGTCTTTCAGCATGACAATGATCCCAAACACACCGCCCGGGCAACGAAGGAGTGGCTTCGTAAGAAGCATTTCAAAACATCACTGCTCTAGAGGAGATCTGCATGGAGGAATGGGCCAAAATACCAGCAACAGTGTGTGAAAACCTTGTGAAGACATACAGAAAACGTTTGACCTGTGTCATTGCCAACAAAGGGTATATAACAAAGTATTGAGAAAATTTTGTTATTGACCAAATACTTATTTTACACCATAATTTGCTAATAAATTCATAAAAAATCTGATTTTCAGATTTTTTTACCTCATTTTGTCTGTCATAGTTGACGTGTACCTATGATGAAAATTACAGGCCTCTCTCATCTTTTTAAGTGGGAGAACTTGCACAATTGGTGGCTGACTAAATACTTTTTTCCCCCACTGTATAGCTGGGATCTTTCTCCCTCGTCAAATGAACGCCTTCATTATTATATTGCTGACATTCCAACTTGAATTAATTGAATAAGTGGTTATAGCCTACTGTAACCTGATAGATGTGTCATATTTGTGTCATAAACCCTCCCCTCCCTAAAATAACATTTAGAAAAATGTAATGCGTCAGCAGTCAGCCACTCGCAAAGTATAGAATGCTGCGGTCATTTTCAGTGGCAATAGGCTGTGTTGTTCAAAGTGGCTAAAGAGGACGCAGTAATGAGAGAAAAATATACCAGGCCTACTAGAAAAAATATATGCTACTGAAAATACTAGGATAATCATCCTATAGTATGAATAATTCTTTGCACCCCATTTAATAAGAGACGGAATGCAAAAACTGACACCAGTCCTGTCATCATTCCTCGACCATCATGGCGCTTGCTGCCTCCAGTTTTCTTTCGATCTAATTAAAGAGAGTCCTATTTTAGGAAACATTCTGGAATGGACATAGAAAGAATTAGCAAACCATACACTCACCCACTTAAAAGGATTCATCAATCAAAGCCGCCTGCAGCGCTTCTCACTCAGAATCAAGCAAATCACATTTCTCCTTTCCCAAAAAACATATTAAAACCTTGCCTTAGCTTCAAATCCTTCTGTAGGATATCAAAAATGAGTCCACTTTATAGGAAAATGCTAAATCAATGTAGCCTATCATATACATTGACAAGGAAAGTTAAGGGGAAGATAGACAGCTGTGATATCAGCCTGGTGTCAGACTAGACGTAACATAGAAAATGTAAGATATGTTACGTTTGGTATGGTTACATACAACAGAAGGTTACTTAAGGCAAAAACGAAAGGAGGGTGGATGGTGGGCTTATAATGCAAACATCTAGCAACCCAAAGGTTGCATGTTCGAATCTCATCAGGGACAACTTTAGCATTTTTGCAACTTTTAAACTACTTAGTATGTTAGCTAACCATTCCCCTAACCCTTTTAGCTAACCCTTCCCCTAACCCTTTTAGCTAACCCTTCCCCTAACCCTTTTAGCTAACCCTTCCCCTAACCCTTTTAGCTAACCCTTCCCCTTTACCCTAACCTCTAGCTAACGTTAGTAAGTAGCCTTGCACAAACCTTGGCTAGTGTCAGCCGGAACGGCTCATAAGGCAGGAGCCTATCTCCTGTTTCTATAGCGTGAGGCAGCTAGATGTAGAAGTACACCCCCTGGACAGGACGCTAGTCTATCCCCTTAATACTGAGTGCCAAGCAGAGACGCATCAGGTCCCATTTTTTACAGTCTGGTATAAGCCGGGGGATCGATCTCACAACCTTCCAATCTCAGGGCGGACTCTATCCACAAGGCCACTGAGCTAGCTAACGTTAGTGTTACATATTTTACGTTTTTCAAATTCTTAACATATCATACGAATTGTAATTTGTAACATATCATACGAAATGGATGGACATCCACAAATTAATACATACCATACGAAACGTAACA